GTTCAAAAGCAAAGATGTCACCCTGAAGACTAAGGTGCACCTGACCCAAGCCATGGTGGTTTCAATTGCCTTATATGCATGCAAAAGCTGGACAGTGAATAAGGACGGAAGAACTGATGCCTTTTAATTGTTGTGTTGGTGAAGAAGGTTGAATATACCATGAACTGCCAAAGAGTGAACAAATTTGTCATGGAAGAAATACAGCCAGAATGTTCCTTAGAAGCAACAATGGCAAGACTATGTCTCACATAGTTTGCACATGTTCTTAGGAGGGTCCCGTCCCTGGAGAAGGACATCATGCTTGGTAAAGTAGAGAGTCATCAAAAAAGAGGAAGACTCTCAATGAGATGGATTGAGACAGTGGCTGCAACAATGGGCTTAAGCTTAACAACAGTTGTGAGGCGCAGGACTGGGCAGTGTTTCGTTCTGTTGTACATAGGGTTGCTGTGAATTGGAACCGACTTGACAGCGCCTAACAACAGCAACAACAAGAACAACATTTTTTCTTTTAGGAGTCCCTGGGTGGTGCAAATCACTGGTCTTCAAGAACAGAAGTAGAAATTTTTTAAGTGCTGTTTTTAATCTCTTGAGCTTTTTGTATGATCTTTTCCCTTATTCTGTTGATGTGGTGAATTGCATGAACTGATTTTTCAATGTCAAATTAATTGCATTTCTGAAACAAATCCAACTTAGTTATGATCCTTTAACCTCTTTATATCTTGCTGGATTTGATTTGTGGACATTTTGTTTAGGATTTTTGCATCTGTTTGTGACTGAAATTGGCTTGGAATTTTCTTTTTTGGTGTGTCCTTGTCAGATTCTGGTATAAATGTTATACTAGAGTAAAAAATGAGTTCCAAAATGGTCTTTTTCTGTTCTCTAGGAGAGTTTATGTAGAATTTGGTGGTGAGCCTGGAGTTTTCTTTATGGGATTTTTTACTTTTTTAAGTTATGGGACTATTCCGATTTCTATTTCTTCTTGTGTTTTTCTAGAAACTTCTACATTTTGTAAAAATTCTTAAATTTGTCGACATCAAATTATTCATGTTATCCTAATAAACATTAAAATTTCTGATTTTTATTTATGCCTTATCATTCTCTTCAAGGGCTTATCGGTTGTGCTAGTACTTTCAAAGAACCAACTTTTGGCTTTGTTAATACTCTATTATATATTAAGGAGCCCTGGTGGCACAATGGCTTAGTGCTCAGTTGCTAACTGAAAAGTTGGAGCTTCGAACCCACCCAGAGACCCAGCAGGAGAAAATACCTGGTGATCTGCTCCCATGAAGATTATAGCCTAGGAAGCCCTATGCAGTAGTTCTACTCTGTCACATGGGGTTGCTATGAGTCAGAATTAACTTGATGGCACACAACAACAATGTTTCATATTAGTTTTCTATTTTTATTGATTTGCTGCTTTTTGTTATTCCTTCTCCTTTTGGGTAGGGAGATAGTTTCCACTGTTTTATTTCTGTCTTAGTGTTGCTCCTTTGAGTGCAATTTTTCTCTCTCACTGTTTTCAAGATTGTCTCTTTGCCTTTAATTTTTAGCAGTTTTATTCTAATATGCTGTCTTAGTTATCTAGTACTGCTATAATAGAAATACCACAAGTGGATGGCTTTAACAAACAGAAATTTATTTGCTCACAGTTTAGGAGGCTAGAAGTTCGAATTCAGGGTGCCAGCTCTAGGGGAAGACTTTCTCTCTCTGTCACCTCTGGGTGAAAGTCCTTGTCTCCTTTCAACATCTGTGGACCCGGCATTTCTTGGAAATCTCCATGTGTCTTGGCATCAATCTTCCCCTTGGTTTGGGAGCTTCTCAATGCAGGGACCACAGGACCCCAGGTCCAAAGGACGTGCTCTGCTCCTGGCTCTTCTTTTTTGGTGGTACTGAGGTCCCTCTCATCTCTGCTTGCTTTTCTCTATTATGCCTCAAAAGAGATTGACTCAAGATACAACCTAATCCTGTAGATTGTATCCTGCCTCATTAACATAGCTGCCTGTAATCCTTACTTATTAACATCATAGAGGTTAGGATTTACAACACATAGAATAATTACATCAGATCACAGAATGGGGGACCACCACACAATACTGGTTATCATGGCCTAGCCAAGTTGACACACGTTTTGGTGGGATGCAATTCAATCCACAACATATGCCTAGGTGTGATTTTCTTTATATTTATCCTGCTTCAAATTTTTAGTTTTCTTGAATCTGTCGCTTGATATTCTTTGTCACTTTTGGAAGATCCTCAGCTGTTACCTCTTTAAATATTGCTTTGTCTTATTCTCTCCTCTTCTTGGATTCTGAACACATGCATGCTAAGCTTTTTATTGTATCCCTTTGTCTCTTATGCTCTTTCTTATATTTTTACATCCTTTTGCCTCTCCTTGCTTCATTCTAGATATTTTTTCCTGGCCTATCTTCCAGAAATCAGTTTCTCTCTTCAGCTATCACTTTTACTGTTTAACCTATTGAATTCTTATCTTTGGTTATAATACTTTCAGTTTGAGATTTTGCATTTGATTTTCTTTAAATATAGTTTCCAGTTCTTTGCCAAATTCTTAGACTAGCTTTGTGTTCCTTGATATAATTAAACATAGTTATTTTAAAAGCTCATTTCTGATAACTTCATTTTTTGATCCTCTAAGGGTTTCATTCTATTGCCTGTAGTTTGCTTTGGTTTCCTTTTGATTCCTAATAATTTTTAATTAAGTACCAGACATTGTATTTTAATATTATAATTTTAGTCTTTGGATGATGTTATCTTCCTCTAGAGATTTGTATTTGATCCTGACATTGGCAAGAAGCATTAGCAATTACATCAGTCAGGAATTGAAGTGATTTAAAACTGAGCTTCAGTTTCTTTCCAGATTACTTTTACTTCTAGGACTTAGTCCCATGAATCTTAATATCTATTTTGTTTAACAATTCCACTTTTCTTGATTTCCTGAATTCCAGCTTTTTCTTCTCCCTCCCCCAATCCCTATGAGTGAGTTAAAAGCTCTGATCAGCTCTTTAGTCTTTTAGAAGCCCAGTCCAGACTCAACAAATGCCCTCAGAAGAAAAGTGACCCAAAATACCAAACTTACATCCTAGAGCCACTATCTTCTTCTGTGGCCTGGTAATTCTTTGCTAACTTATTAGCTCTCTGATGCTTTTAAACAGAATTTTAAAAAATGTTTTATTCATCTATTTAGTTACTGTGAATGGAAGGGTTAGTCTTTATTACCAAGTCTGCCATTGCAGGAAGTGGAAATCCGTTCTGGTTACTACTTCTTATTCTCCTTTTCTGATTTTTCTTTATCTCCCTGCATCAATGTTGGAATGCCCCAGGCTTAGTCGTAGGTCCTCTCTTTTTCTGCACTCATGTCTGGTCTCATAGCTTTAACTTCCATCTATGTACTGATGATTCCCAAGTATCTTTCTCTATCCTGCATGCTCCATAGCCACATATGTAGCTGACTGTTAGTCATTTCTACGTGGGAGTGTAACACATTTCTAAGTTATCATGTCCCAAAATCAGCTTCTGTTCTTTCTTCCTAAGCCAGCTTCTCCTTCCTATTTTAGTCAATGGCAACTCCATTCCTGCAGTTGTTCAGGCCAAAAATTTTGGTGTCATTCTTGACTCCTCTTTTTCTTTCACATCATGTATTATTTCCAACAGCAAGTTCAGTTGTCTCTACCTTAAAAATATATCCAGAACTGGACCACTTCTTACCACTCCCACTTCTATCAGTCTGGTCCAAGTCACTATTATCTTTTGCTTAGATTATTTCAGTAGCCTCCTAATATGTGTTATATTCTTATGTGATGACAGTGAAGTATTACTCAGGTAATAGTGGATCTGGCTGGATGATGTTCTTCTTTGGTGATGATGATGGTAGTTGTCTTCTGGTGGTATATATATATATGGTTGGTGAGATATATATAGTTGGTGATATGTATATATGTAGCGCTGGTGGCACAGTGATTAAGAGCTCGGCTACTAACCAAAAGGTCAGTAGTTCGAATCCACCAGCCGTTCCTTGGAAACCTTATGGGGGCAGTTCTACTCTGTTCTATAGGGTCGCTATGAGTTGGAGTCAACTTGACGTCAGTGGGTTTTATATATATGTATATAGTTGGCAACACCTTATTTACTTATCTAATTTTATTTTTGGATTATCTTCCTGTTAGTTTCAGAGGTTCGTTGTAAGAGAGCATGAGATAACTATGGTAGGAGCTAAGGATATTCACTTTGGTATTTCTTTAAATTGACCCATATGGTCACAAAACAGTCCAGTATTGTACAGTGGGTATAGAGGTCAGGAGACCTCAAAAAGATACAGCTGCATATCAAGTACATGTTATAGTTATGATATTATAATATTTTGAAAGTCTACTCCTTCCTCAGTATTGGTAAGTTATTCTTTCTACGAGAACATCCCTTATGTCTCCAGGTCCAGTACCACTGCTTGGCTCTAGAGATAGTACGATTTAATTTAAAAATTTATTCATACAATTTAGAATGTTGATGCTGATTATACTTTGAAAAATAGATTAATTTGGGCCACTGGAATTGTGAAAATTGTTTTACTTGTATACACAGGAACCAATCAGGGAAATTAGTGTTCTGTAACAAGCTGGGAGGTTTGAATTGGGTTTTTAGATATTATCTATCCACAAATACCCCTTACGCCTTTTTCCATCGTTGTCTTTTTGTATTGCTCCAGATTGAACCATGTCTCCTATAGTTACTAGGGTTTAAGCTGGACCTCAGGAGCTGAAATAGAATTGAAAGTTGGATACAATAATGTGAACTCTTCCCATTGTGAGACTCATGAGACTAGTATACTAGTCTTATTATGGTGGGCCAGTAATTTCTAATCATCCTCTAGGCTGATATCCTGGCTAAGTTGATTAAAAAAATATGATAAGCATGTAATGTTCAAGGAAAACACCATTCTTGTATTAAATATTTATAGTATATCCACATTTGAATTTTTATCTTAACAGGTCAATGCAGCTGAATCAAAGATAACAAATTTAATATACCTAAAACATACCTTGGAACTTGTGGATCCTTTGAAGGTAACCTAAATGTGTGTATGTTGTACAAAATATGTCTAGTATCAGTTTTTTTAAACATTTCAAACTTATAGAAAAGTAGAAAGAATAAAATGGATGCTCATATTGTTCACCTAGATTCACCAGTTAACAGTTTGCCACATTTTCTCTCCTCTCTCTCCACTCACAGTGCAGATATACACATATTATCTTTATTATTATTATTACTGAATCATTTGAGAATAAGTTCTATTATTACTATTACTGAATCATTTGAGAATAAGTTCTAGTACCTAAATGCTAAAGTGTATATCTCCTAAGAACAAGGATGTTCTCTTACATAACTACAGTATAATTATCAAATTCAGGGTATTTCACATTGATATAATGCTATCATGTAATGTATAGCCCATATTCAAAATTTTCCAGTTGACCTAATAATATTCTTTAGAACATTTTGTTTTATATGATCTAGGATCCAGTCCAGTACCATGCATTGTACTTAATGTCATGTTTCTTTAGACACCTTGAAACTAGAAAAGTTCCTCAGCCTTTGTCTTTTCTGATATTGACATTTTAAAGAGTAAGCGTCAGTTGTTTTATATAACGTTCCTCAATTTAGGTTTGTAAAAATGGCTTGGGGGCAGTGTCTGACCTCATCTTACTTCACAAGGGGAAGGGAGAATCATGATCAACAGCCCAAGGCTGAGTCCCATGAAGCGGAGGTCAGACATTCCTCTTCTCTCTGCCATCTTTACTAATTCTAACACCAACTGTCCTTCCCAGAGCACTCTCTACTGGGTTCGATAATTCATTGCAGTGCCACATAGAAGTCACTGACCATACTCAAAATTATGGGGTTTATTAGGGAAGTAACAGTTACAATTCAGGCTCGAGAACACTCAGGACACAGTTCTTCCATCAGGATCGCCTCTCCCCAGCTATGCTCACAGGCACACTTCTCCCTCGCCCTCAGTCTCTGCCCAAAGGCACTCAGCTTTCTCTCTCTGTGGGCTGGGAAACCCACCATGCCGTCTCCTCCTGCCAGGTCTCTCTTGCTGGTCTTTCCTTCCTTGGTGGTCATGGGCTCCTCCTCCCTACTCTGGAATTGGCTCTCTTTTAAGGCAAAACTGACCAATTCCCTTGGTAGCCCACAATTACCCTATCACACAGTCACCTGAGTGAGAGTTATAAGACAATGGCTAGAAAGGCCACACACGAAGGTAATTATTTACACCACAGATTTGTGTGATTGTTTCCTCATGATTAGATTTGCCTTATGCATTTTTGGCAGTAATACTCTATGAGCAATGTTGTATCCTTCTCAGTACATCCTATCAGGAGGCAAATTATGTCATTCAGTCATTATTCATAATATTAACTTTGATCAATTCCTTTACTGTAAAGTTACTATATTTTATTTTATAATTAATAAGTAATCTGTGGAGAGATACTTTGAGACTGTAAATATCCTGTTCCTTGTAAAACTTTCAAGGAACCTTGATGATGCAATGGTTTGGCAGTTTGAACCCACCCAGTGGCTCCAGGGAGAAAGACCTGGTGACCTACTCCTATAAAGACTAACTAAAACCCCTTGCCATTGAGTCGATTGTGACTCATAGCGACCCTAAAGGATAGAGTAGAACTGCCCCATAGGGTTTCCAAGGCTGTAATCTTTATAGAAGCAGACTGCTACATCTTTCTCCCACGGAGTGGCTGGGTTCAAACTGCTGACTTTTCAGTTAGCAACTGAGCGCTTAACCACTGTGCCACCAGGGCTCACTCTTATAAAGATTACATCCTAGAAAACCCTATGGGACAGTTCTGCTCTGTCACATGGAGGTGCTATGAATTGAAATTGACTCGGCACCTAACAACAACAATAACATCCAATTTTTACCCATTAATTTTGGTATTTATTGATGACTCTTACCTGAAGCAGTTGTTACCATTATGGTTATAAAATGATGATTTTATCATTAATTTTAAAATACTGTACTCTGCAAAGCTTTTTTTTATTAAAGTGACAAAAAATAACTGCTTTTTAAAAAGAAAAATTAGTGAAAAATGTGGAAAAAGTTTGTTATACAGTCTATTCTAATGAAAGTAGTAATTCAGCAAAAGATTTCAAAAATATTGTTAAGTTTCTTAGAATGAAAAAGGTGAAATAAACACTAAGGAAATGCTGATAGAAATGATAAAAAAGATTTCAAAGGTAAATATCAAAGGCAAAGTCATAGGCCAAAAAAGGAAAAATTTGTACCAAATGACAGAAAAAAAAATTAATTACTGTCATCATAAAACTTGTAATTTTTAAGAAAAATACTGGCATGCCAATGTAAATAAATATGGAAATGACCAAAAAAATTTAAAAAAGGAAATCAGCGTGGTTAATAAATAATACCAAAAATATCCAACTTCACATTAATTAAAGAAATGAAAGCTAAAGCCATAGTTTTTATCTATCAAAGAAGCGAAGTTTTTTTTTTTTTCTTAACAGATGCTACTCACTACTAATGAGAGAACAGTGAGACAGGGAACTTCATAGACAGCTAGTAGGGGTACAAATTGTACATACTTTACAGAAACGTTTCACAACATAGCTCATACCTTTTGATCCTGTAATACCACTTCTAAAAATCTACCCTTAAGAAATATTCAGAAACATTGCCCAATGATGGTCATTGAAGTGTTATTTACGTTAGAGAGAAATTATAAACAGACAAGAAGTCCAATAATTAGAGAAAAGACTTCTTTCCATAGAGTGCAATATTATGAATTATTAAAAACTTTTACTTGAAAAGTTTTTGATGCTTATGATATAATATAGTGCTAACTGGGGAAAAAGGGGTATCAAATTTTTTATTGGCAATAGTAACAGGAAATACCGTATAGTATTGACAGTATTTATCTTTGGAAGGATGGTAAAATTATGAGTGATTTATTTTTACTTTATGCTTTAGTGGATTTTTGAGTTTTTGTCAGTATACACATACTATTTTTCTATCTAGAAGTAAATGTTATTTAAACATTATAGCCATTGCCTCATAGCAAACTAAAACAGGAGTTGAAGGTTCAGGTTAAATATGCTTTCCCCTCTTTTTGCAGTTTCCGTTAAGCAAAATAAATCCCTATTTTTGCCATATAAGAATGAGGAAGTTGCTCTATTTATAAATATACAAAGCAGTTTTTTAGTTTAATCTCTATATTACTCAAATTTTGGCATTTTATGTATAGTACTCTAAGTGGTTTAAGAACCTACTTCTAATAAGTCAATATATATTAACAATTGGTTGGGAGGAAAAAAAAATAAGTCATAATAGTGAAACAGTAGATGGCCACTTATTATCTTTATCTGGAAAATGATAAAGATACCATCTTTCCTTGCCTAGATATCTAAAATATTTCTTATGAGTATATAAGTGAGAAAATGTAAGCAAGAAAGCACTTGGTAAACTGTAAAGTATTAAACAAATGTAAAATTCTACATTTGGATTATGTCATAAATTATTATCCTAACTATTTTTATTTTATTCTTTAATAGATTGCATTGAAGAACTGTAACACACCTTTATTAAGAGCTTACTGTGGTTCCTTGGAAGACAAGAGGTCTTTGTCACTCAACTGTTAATAAAAATTAGCTTATTCCTTTCTTTCTGTTAACTGATTTTAAGGGCTCGAATTATATTCTGTAGAACAATTACTCTAGCTTTGGTTAACAAAATCTTTAAACTATTCATCAAAAATTCTAATTATATATTTCCTCTTATAATAAATAGGAGTATTGATCATTTGAGCTCCTGGACAATTAGAATAGCACGGAAAATTGAAATCCATGCACAATTTTAATTTTTTTTTTAGCTATTCTCCATGACAAGATTTGCAAGTATAAAAATAGATTTCTCTCTTTTGTCATTAACAAAAAAATAGTGAATATGAATACTTAATATAATCTAAATATTGAACAGTTTAACTGTAATATTGTTTTTAACAATGACACCCTGTTTCTTGACCAAAAAGACTTGTGGTATATAAGAACTATAATTTTATTGATTATGTGAAACCATAAATGGAAGTTAATAGTAAAAACCATGCTAACTACAAATAATATGGAGAACAGATAAAATAAAAGATTAGCAAAATAGGAATGACCAGATTTTTTGGTTTGATTGATCACTGATATTTGTGAGGTTCTTGTTATACAGTCTTACAATATATATTTAGTCTCTCTTCTCTCTACCTAACCCAGTGTTTGGCATATGACAAGTGTCGGTAAATGTTTATTGAATGATGAACATGAAGCCATAATTTGAAAAACAGTTCTTCAGGGATGTATTTTGTACTTGGGGGACCTGTTCATTAGCAGGTGTAGAATTTCTCTTGGTGGCCACATGCTGTTTTAGGAGATTAGTCCCAACTGATGAAATAGTTTAAAATTGACATAGTCATAGCTCTAACTTAATGTAAACTTCATATGTATAGCTTATTTATTTTGAAATCACTTTTCTCCAATGATTTCAAGAAAATGTTATTTGCTGTCATTAACTATAACTCTAAAATTATAAATAAAAGTAGCTGTTTGACTTGTTATCTATGATGTTCTTTTTTAGGTTTGGAATCATACTTGAAAAGATTAAAACAGTAATTAATGATGATGCAAGATACATGAAAGGATGCCTGAATATGAGGACTCAGAAATGCTATGCAGTGAGGTCTAACATAAATGAGTTTCTTGACATAGCTAGAAAAACATATACAGAAATTGTAGATGACATAGCAGGTATTTAATTATCTGAAAACAGATAATTTTAAAATATATTATCATTCAAGGAACATTTTTTTTAAAAAAAAGACCAAGTATTTATAATGTGTCTATTCTCCACACTTTAAATATAGAGTTAACCTTCATAAAACAGTGAGTATGAGTTATATGAAAAATGCAGGCTATCAGTCCTAAAGGGTTTCAGTGGAGGGAGAGAGACGGTTTTTATCTAGAAGAAGTGACATTTGAGCTGATCCAGTAATTCATTCATTTAACAAATATTTATTGAGCTCCTACTAAACATAGATACTGCTCTCAGTACTGGGATACGTAACAAGACAAAGTCCCTGCCTTCATGGAGCTTATGTTATAGTAAGGGAGGCAGACAGTAAAGAAATATATATAATATAACTTCACATGGATATAAAATGTATGAAGAAACTGTAGCAGGGTAGAAAGTTCAGAGACTGGATGTAGAGCTTATACGTAGGAGGAAAGGATTTTAGTAAATGGGCTACCTTTAGAAAGAGGTCGCACACACTGCACTAGTGTAAGTTGAAGCACAGAGACACAAGGAAATCTCAAGGGATGTGTGAGGAAACCTGTTAGGATGGGATAGAGAGCTCCGTTACAGGATTAGTGAGAGATAAGATGTGAAATGTAGATTAGGGACCAGAATTTATTCTTTGAAGACTGTGAGTTTGGATCTTTTCCCAAGGAGTATGAAGAAGCCCTGAAATGTTTTTGTTCAGTGGAGTGAAATTGATAAAGAAGGTTAATCTGATAATGTGTTGAATGAATTTGAGTGGAGATACAGAGCCAGGGAGACTAGTTCAAGTATTACAAGTTAATAAAACATTATTTAGGGTGAAAGTAGTATAGATGAGAAGAGGGGAATGTACGGAGAGAAGAAAGAATTATTAGATGTTAATAATTGAGTAGATATGGCAGAGGTAAAGAGAAATGTAGTTATCAGTGTTGAGATTTCTAGCCTGAGAATGATGGTACCATCAAGGAAAGCAGGAAAATCAGGAGAAGGAACTATTTTGAAGAATGAAGATGTTAGTTTAGTTTTTTCAGGTAATGTTCAAAGTATTAATGGTTCATCAAGTTATAAGTCTACAGCTCTGAAATGAGTTTGAAGCTGATAATAGAGATTCGGGTTTAAGAATTTTATTTGGTGAATCACTTATTTTCTTTTTTGGAATATTTCATTTTGTAAAATGTGTTTGTAGAGGAAATTTCTTATGAATTAATAATTATAATAATTCAGGTGATTATCTCTTTCAAAAAAGTGGAAAGAACAACAAATCAAAAACTATAAACACAAAGAATATTAAACAGTCTTGGTTTTATTTTAAATTTTTTGATATATTTTTCTTTCAGAATACCTATCAGAATGAGTGCTTTTGTACTACAATGATTATCTTAAAGAGTGATTAACCATATCTTTTAGGCATTAAAAATCATTTAGAGTTTAAAAGAATAATATCACCTTTCTATTTACGTATAAAATAACAGAAAACCATGTGATGACTTTTTAAAGTGAAAGTAATTTTCTCATTAAAATTCTTTGTTTTTTCTTCCTTATTTCTGGTCACTAGGAATGATAACACAACTTGCAGAAAAATACAGTCTTCCTTTAAGGACAAGTTTTAGCTCTGCTCGAGGATTTTTCATCCAGATGAGTACAGATAGTACAAACCTTCGCAATGATCAACTTCCTTCAGAATTTATTAAGGTTCATTCTAGAGTGTTTGGTTAAGAAATTATTGTTTCTGATTTTACAGAATTAGATTTACATATTTCAGGCAGTCCTTGAGTTTAACATGCTAAATTTTTGAATGTTCTGTATATTGCTTCTCCTTCTACTCCCACCCACTCACTTAACAGCTATACTAACTCTAAGAGTGATTTAGAAGCTTTTTAAGAAAAATATCAAATACAGATTTCTGAGAGTTTGGTATGGGGAGAAAAAGAACAGGAAGAAGAAAAGTTCGAAAGATGTTTTTGGTAACAGAAATTTGGAAAATACTGCACCATCTCTTGTTTTCAACAGTTCTCCAGGCATATTTGCCTAATAAAGTTCAAAAAGTTGTGAAGTAAAGAGATCTGCTTAACTTTTTTTAATCCAGTATTTCCAAGCCTTTGGACCATGGAAAAACTTTTTTCTACACACACATTAACTCCTCCATAATATACCAGTTTGGAAAAGTCTAATCAAATCTGGGAGTCCCTGTGTGGGGCAAATGGTTAACCACTAGGCTGCTAACCAAAAGGTTGGCAGTTCAAACCCACCCAGAGGTACACCTTGGAAAAAAGGCAGGGTGAACCACTTCTAAAATGTCATAATTCTACTCTGAAACACGTGGGGTCATATTGAGTTGGAATTAACTAGACAGCAACTGGTTAATCTAATCTTCGATTTTTCTGTTCCTAGGGGATACCTTTTGACAAAAACAAACCGTTTAGCTTTTGGAGTTTTTTTAAAATATACTTATTACCAAATAGTAAGGGATGGAGTAAAGAACAGGTTGGGACTCAGTAATGAGGTTAGAGATTGGATGGGGTTCAGGAATGGACAAGGGCCTGAGGTAGGGGTCAGAGACAGGAGTTTCTTGACATCTGTTATGCGTATTACTTGGTAATAAGACACAGTGTTTTAACATGGCTATTTTAAGGCTTGTCAAAACAGTCATGTCAGAGGAGCTAGGTTAAATATATCCTGCTTCAGCCCTGGAAGTGATCTTCCTTTTTGTCTTTCACAAACATTATTCAGAACTTCCTTTGTGATACTGTATTTCAAAAATTAAAGCGATTAACTTAAATATGTAGATTTCTATTATTTAAAAGTTATATGTTTTATTTAATAGCAGTGTGTGCTTATTTTGACATTTGTTTTTTAATTTTCTAGCAGATTTCTAAAATGAAAAATTCTTACAGCTTTACATCAGCAGATTTAATTAAAATGAATGAAAGATGCCAAGAGTCTTTGAGAGAAATCTATCACATGACTTATATGTAAGAGCATTTGAAGTATTTAAATATTGAATGAAATTGGTTTAATTTGAGGCACTGTGATAAATTTCATTAATTGACTTTTTGTCTGATTGCAGACAATTGTAGAATTAGGAATGTTAGCAGAGAAAGAACATTTTCTGAGAGGACAGTTAAAGATTTTAATGTCTACCATTATGACTAGGAATCACTGATCCTCACTGAAACTTCAGGGCAAATTTAGTTCCAAAAAATACCAGTATAACTGATACTTTTGTTGTATGTATTCCACTAGGATGAAGAACTTGGCACATACAACATGGGCTTATCTTGGACTTCATTCAACTTATTCTTTTCTTACGATCTCTAAGCCCTTAGCTTTTCTATCCTTGATAATTCCGTAGCAACATCACAATAGTGCTAGTTCTTTTGCTATTCATGAAAAATAGCAATACAGCTAGAAAGAAGAAATAGAACATTCAAAATTGGTGGACTGAGATGTCAAAGAGGAAGGTTGAGCTTTCAAAACAATTTCAGGACGTGGACCACAGAGATTATAATACATAGTATCGAGTACATATTTCTCCTTGTAAGGGAAAAACTTTTGTATTATATCACAGTATTATAACTGCTGTAAAAAAGCTTAAATAGTTATGCCGGTGTACGTGTGTATGTGAAAGAGAGCTTAGGGATAATGAGAGAGAAAATACTTAATAGCCTTTGTTTGGAACTCAACATTTACAAAAACACAAAATTATTAGCAGATGGGGTCTGTCCAAGTGTAGTAAAGGCTTGATTTTACCTATATAAAAATATTTTTATTGAATATAAAAGCAGTCATTTAAAAAGCATGATGTTAACGTGCTAAGTAGCTGTGACCTTAAGCATGGGCTTCAGTTTCCTCATCTTTAAAACAGGGCAATTGAACAGTGGACTTTATATGTAGTGTACAACTCAGCTGTGAATGTATTTTACCTCAGGCAATTAATTCAATATTGTTTTCTAATTACATTGTCCCTTTTAAAAAAGCATTATTACATGTCTACCAAACATGTACTTTCAGGATAGTGTGCAGACTGCTTAGTGAGATTTATGAACATATTCATTGTTTATATAAGCTCTCTGACACTGTGTCAATGCTGGATATGCTTCTGTCATTTGCTCATGCCTGCACTCTTTCTGACTATGGTAAGTTACTTTCTTTGGAATAAACATGTTGCATGCTGAAATCTGTATTCCATTCAAACAATCTCACATAACAATTCTGAATGTTTTAAAATTTTAAGTTGAAATAGAATCTCTTGCTTATGGTCCTAGAGTAACTACAAATAGAGAAAGTGAAATTAACCCTAAAATATATTTTAAAAGTCAGAAAATTATTTATTGAGAAATTGGCAAATCAAAAAGAAAAATCTGTGCAAGAAACTTTAAAGTTTCTCAAAACAAGAAAGACTTGCAGAACTATCTTTTTAGTGAAAATGACAGTTCTCCAAATTTATAAGTTCAGATCTGAAGGCTCATTAGAAGCAGTGTGACTAATATTAATAAAGAAGTGAATCTCCAAAGTGAGCATTTTCTAAACTATCTTCTTAGATGTGAGCATCCCAAGATCATGAATTATGTCATTCATTTTTATATCCCAAGTCCATACATAGACCTTGAATATAAATGTTAAATAACTTTCTAATGTTGAATAAATACTTCAAGTCAGCCTCTTGAAATTTCTTTTCAACTTATCAGTAATAAGCATACCACACTATGCCAATTTACAGAACTAGTATGTGATAATTATGGTTGAATAATTTCAGACTTGATAATATTAAAATTTCTAGCTAAAATCAGCAGTAACATTTCCAAAATATTATGTTAATTTATTTTTTATAATAATAGAAAAAAACCAAACTCGTTGCCATCAAGTTGATTCCAACTCATAACAACCCCATAGGACAGAGTAGAACTACCCCATAGAGTTTTCAAGGAGCAGCTGGTGGATTCTAACTGCTGACCATTTGATTAGCAGCTGAGCTCTTAACCACTGCGCCACCAGGGCTCCATTTTTTAAAAGGGTAAGCATCTTATAAGGATGGAAGTTTTTCATGTCTTATGGAAATATTAACTTTTTCAACTGGTATTTTATGGGCCAAAACTTTTACAGCCATTTAGGTCTACTTTGGGGTCAAAATCTTACATTAGGGATCAGCTATTCTATGGTAATTTTCTTAACTATTAAAAGACTTAATGTTGCTCACTTTTATTTGAGAGGGGCCATCCTGAAACTCCAAACCTGTAAATAATGAATTTTTGGTGTTAAAAATGGTTTTGAAATAGTTAAAAAAAACATTTTTTTATTCTCATGAACTTCACTTTTATATTGAATGCTTTCAATTTTTTCCATATGTTTTGTTTAGATGTAAATAGCATTTTAGTTTTCACTTGTCCTCCCACTGTCTTCCTTCTTCCTCTACTCAGAAGTTATCCATAGAGACCTGATGATGATTTGTTTCTATAAATTAACAATATCTTTGTGTCTGATTTTTGCTAGCCTCTGAGGTTTCTTTTGAGACAAAATTTCTCCAAAGGCTTTAGCAGCAAATTATCTTTATATTTTTTTTACTCTGTGCCTCATTTTAAAAGCTAAGTATGCCAAATTTGAAATATACTTAAGATGGGAATTAAGTAAATGTGTAATTCTATAGTACTGGCAATCAATTGTTATTTTGAAAGTATTATCGATGGCTATTTTTTTTTTTTTAACCTATACAAATCTGAAAATTTTATGAACTGTTTTGGAACCCAGAAAAATGTCAGAGAGCTGAATCTTAGCATTTCCTGGAATTGAATAGAAGTTGTGATTGTGATGAGAGTGAATCAGTTATAATTTAGGGATCGCCATGAGTTGGAATTGACTTGACAGCAACTAACAGCAACAGGTAGTGATTTGGGATAAAATAATAGTCTTATTGTTCCAAATTGGCCCTAGTCAAATGACTAAGATATACGCAGTACATACACACCAAAAAAATTTTTGTATCTAAGTATATTAATCTTTCAAAACCATTCTATTTTATTTAGTTCGACCAGAGTTTACTGATACCTTGGCAATCAAACAAGGATGGCATCCCATTCTTGAAAAAATAACTGTGGAAAAACCTGTTGCCAACGATACCTATATTACGGAAGGGAGTAATTTTTTGATCGTAACTGGACCAAATATGAGTGGGAAATCTACATATTTAAAACAGATTGCTCTTTGTCAGATTATGGCCCAGATTGGTAAGTTACAGCTTTACTTTATAGTTACTAATTCTGTTCTCTGTTCAAAACGTTTTGTGCCTGACTTTATAGGTCCAGGCGCCTAATTATCCCAAGAACAGTTCTCTTACCTAAAAATATAATAATATGTCTATTATATAAGCCATAACTTTTACTATTTGGTATTTATTAAGCACCATCAAGTTTGAATTGCATTGCACTAAAAATTGTGTGGGATATAAGATATTAAGCATCATCCAGTTTGCATAACATTGCATTAAAAATTGTATGGCATATAACAGAAGTGGAAACTTCCTTACTTTAACTGTTAATGTTGAATCAATTATTGGTAAATTGAGTCATATAATTATTTCAGGTTCAGAATCAAACTATGTTGTAAGAAAAAGTGAAGTAAGTAGGATAAACTACCTTTCAAAACTCATGTGAGATTTTTCCAAAAATAAAACATTGGGCAGGGAAACATTTTGTTTACTTTACTTGAGGGGCACTGATAACATGGCTACATCAGTTCACATATCACACACACGTGCACACATAAGTGGCTGCCACTTGCCCAATGTTGTCACATATTTCTTGGTGTACAAGTACCACCTACCTCCAGTCTCTGAAAATTGGCTTTCCTTGAGGACTACATGATTCAGAGATCAGATGACTACATGAGTCAGAGATTAGATGACTGGACCCAGTTATAAGACTTATGCAGTTGTTCTCAACCAGGGGTAGTTTTGCCCCCACCCTTGGGGACATTGGCAATGCCTGGAGACAGTTTTGATTGTTACAGCTAGCGGCTGTGTAGAAGACAGGGATGCTGCTGAACATCCTACATTGCATAGAACATTGCCCCTCCCCACAAGGGAGATTTATCTAGCCCAAAATATCAGTAGTGCTGACATTGAGAACCCTGTTCTAGTGTAATCGATTATAAGGGCTACACTACAATAATAATACTGGTGATCCACTGTAAATTCACCCTTAGTACTGGGAAAGCAAATCAGTTCAGTGAATGAATGAAGAGTAAATATTTTATTTAGTTTAACTTAGAGTGTTACTAGAGTTAAAAGGACATCTTAGCTAACTTTCCACCCCTTATAAGAATACTATCTGATTTACATGTGACGTAATAATCCTACCTCTATTTGAATAGCTATGATGAGCATTGTCTACTTATTCAACAACTCTAATATTAGAGAACTTATTATACTGAATTGAAATCCACTTTATATAACTTCTATTCATTAGTCCTAATTGTTATCTTCTATGCATCACAGAGTAAATTTAGACTGTCTTCCTAATAATAGTCAAATATTTAAAGATAATTATTTTTCTTGTCACTACCCATTGTTTAAATTTTTGTATTGTGGTAAAATACATATAACAAAAAATTGCCATTTTAACCATTTGTAAATGTACGATTCAGCAGTGTTAATTATATTTGCCATGTTGTGCAACCATCACCACTATCTATTTCCAAAAGTTTTCATCACCCCAAATAGAAACTTAGTATTCCTTTAGGATACTCCCCATTTCCACATCCCTCCAGCCCCTGACAACCATTGATAAACTTTTGTCTCTATGCCTTCCCAGTTCTAGATATCTCATATAAGTGGGATCATACAGTATTTGTCCTTTTGAGTCTGACTTATTTCGTTTAGCGTAATGTTTTCAAGATACATCCATATCTTAGCATGTATCAGAACTTTATTTCTCTTCATGGCTGAATAATATTCCAGTAGATGTATGTATCACATTTTGTTTATTCATTCATCTGTTGATGTACATTTAGATGTTTCCACTTTTTGACTATTGTAAATAAAGCTGCAATGAACATTGGTGTACAATTATCTGTTTGAGTCCCTGCTTTTAAGTCTTTTAGGTATATACCTAGGAGTGGCATTGTTGGGTGGGTCATATGGTAATTCTATATTTAATTTTTTCAGCATCTGCCAAACTGTTTTCCACAGTGGCTGCACCATTTTACAGTCTGACTAGAAATGGATGAGGGTTCCAGTTGCTCCACATCTTCTCCAAAACTTGTTTTTTGCTGTTTTTCTAGTAATAGCCATCCTAGTAGGAGTGAGAGATTGGCTGCTAATCAAAAGCTTGGCAGTTCGAATCTACCACTGCTCTTTGGAAACCCTATGGGGCAGTTCTACTCTGTCCTGTAGGGTCATTATGAGTCAGAATTGACTTGATGGCAATGGATTTTGGTTTAGTAAAAGTGCAGTGGTATCTTATTTGATTTGCATTTTCCTAATCACAAATGATATTGAGCATCTTTTCATGTGCTTATTGACCATTTGTATATCTTTTTGGAGGAATGTTGATTAAAGCCCTTTGCATGTTTTTATATTGTATTTGTCTTTTTGTTGTTGAACTGTTGGAGTTCTTTACATATTTTGGATATTAAACCCTTATCAGATATATGGTTACTACATATTTTTTCCCATTCTATAAGGTTATCTCTTCACCTTGTTGATGAATTCCTTTGATGCGCTAAAGTTTTTAATTTTGATAAAGTCCAGCTTATCTATTTTGCCTTTTGTTGCCTGTTCTTTTGTCAAAATCAGGATCTTGAATCTTTACCCCTATATTTTCTTATAAAAATTTTATGGTTATAGTTTTTATATTTAGGTTATTGATTCATTTTGAGTTAATTTTTATATATGGTATAAGGTATGGGTCTAACTTCATTCTTTTGCATGTGAAGATCCAGTTAGCACCATTTGTTGAAGAGACCTTTCCTTCCCTATTTAATGGGATTGGCACCTTTGTCAAAAATCAATTGGCCGGGGCAGGGCCAAGATGGGAGCATAGTAAGATGCTTGCGGTGGTCCCTCTTACAACAAAGACCTCAAAAAACAAGTGAATCGATTATATAGGACAGTCTAGAAGCCCTGAACATCAAAGGCAAAGTTGAGGAATTGGACTGAGTAGCAGGGGAAGGGAGAGATGGTTCAGAAGCAGTGAGGAGTTGCAAGAACTGACCTGGTGGGAGCTGGAGCCCTTCAAACTGGATCAGCTCTTGGTGTGCAGTGGGGCAAGCAGTGGCACTTCGGAGGCATTTTCCACATCGGGAGAGGCCTAGTGGCAGAGAGTCTACTTGGCTATCCAGAACCAGTGAGAAGCAGCCCTCGACTGGTGAAAGATAAGTACTTGCACCTGGCCTACCACGAGGATCAAAAACACTCCCCTTTGGGAAAAACCTCTCTCCCATTTACCTCCCCACTCCCTGCTCTACACTGGGTCCAGGATGGCTTCAGTGACTGCCAAGTCCTCTGGACCAGAAGTAGGACCCACCACACGCCCTGAAACATTCTCTTTGCCTTGGAGAGGGAACAAATAAACAAACAGAGAAAAAATAAACTGCCAGCTCTCCTAAGCCAGGAACTCAGGGTATGCACAAGTTCTTTGCCTAGGCACAGGCATAAGGGTCCACGGACTTTGAATTTCCTCCTGCAGAGACTTGTGTGGGCCAATTTCAGCAGCGTAGGCCCTCATTACCACAGTACAACAGAGTATATACCTGAAATCTAACTTCAGCTGTTTCAGCTGTGAAGTGGGAAGTTTGTAACATTTGACACTGCTCTGCCCATTAAGCAGGGTTTAACCTACCCACATCAGGGGCCTGACAACTGGTTGCTCCACCCACGCCACCTAGCGACCTGTGACGGGGTCCAAGAATAAGTGGTGCCCCCTAGTCCTTACAGTCAACAGTATTGGGTGCTCATAGTGTGGCTGCAAAACCCACCCACCTACGTGCTGTAGAGAACAGGGACACAATTTCCCACCAGACACTTGGGGACACTTTCCCCTGCCTTGCTCAGCGTGTGAGTCCCTGCTGCAGCTGGATGCCTGTACCTACACTAATCACCCATGCCTGCCTAGGACTGTAGGTGAGAGTCTGAACCACACATTAGGTGGGTGACTACCTGGACACCTGAGTTGAATCCATACAGGATGAGTGGGTAGACTACTGGGTGCACTTAGTGCCAGATCTGGCCACCTGGTGGCAGGACGTTGGAGCTTCAGGGGCGCCGGTGATCAGGCTAGCTCACATGAACACACAGCCTATTCAGCCATATCAAAACAAAACAAAACAAAACAAGAAGCTAGGACACAGTAAGCAAACAAATATATATATATACACACTAAGTTATTGAAGGCTTGGAGACAACAGTCAATAATCAAATCACATAAAGAGGCAGACCATGATGGCTTCAGCAAGCTCCCAGAATAAAGAATCAAGAAATTTTCCAGAGGAAGAGAATTTCTTGGAATTACTGGGGGCAGAATACAAAAGATTAATATACATAACTCTTCAAAACATCAGGAAGGAGATTCGGCAAAATGCAGACAAAGCAATACAGAATTTAAGATTAGAGAAGAACATAATGACAAATTTAACAGGCTGTAAGAATCCATAGAGAGGCAGCAATCAGAAATCCAGAAAATTAACAATAATATTTCACAATTAGACAACTCAATAGAAAGTCATAGGAGCAGAACTGAGGCAATGGAAGTCAGAATTAGTGAGATTGAAGGTAAAGCACTTGACACCAACTTATTTGAGGAAAAATCAGGTAAAAGGATTTTAAAAAATGAAGAAACACTAAGAATTATGTGGGACTCTATCAAGAGGAATAACCTACAAGTGATTGGAGTACCGGAACAGATGATGATAACAGAAAATACAGACAGAATTGTTCAAGATTTGTTGGCAGAAAACCTCCCTGATAAGATGAGAAGATATCTATCCAAGATGCTCATCGAACACCACATAAGATAGACCCCAAAAAAAGTCACCAAGACATATAATCTTGCCAAAACCAAAGATAAAGAGAGAATTTTAAGAGCAACTAGGGATAAACGAAAAGTTATCTACAAAGGAGAGTCAATAAGAATAAGCTCAGACTACTCAGCAGAAACCATGCAGGCAAGAAGGCAGTGGGATGACATATATAAAGCCTTGAAGGAAACAAATTGCCAGTCAAGAGTTATAT